AGCCTCATAAAAAAGTGGGTAAAGGACATAAACAGACACTTCTCAAAAGAAGACATACATGTGGCCAACACTCATGAAAAAAAGCTCATCATTGATCATTAGAGAAATGCAAAACAAAACCACAATGAGATACCATCTCACGCCAGTCAGAGTGGCTATCATTAAAAAGTCAAAAAACAACAGATGCTGGTGAGGTTGTGGAGAAAAAGGCACAATTTTACACTGTTGGTGGGAATGTAAATTAGTTCAACCATTGTGGGAGACAGTGCAATGATTCCTCAAAGACCTAGAGGCAGAAATACCATTTGACCTAGCAATCCCATTACTGGGTATATACCCAAAGGAATATAAATCATTCTATTATAAAGATACATGCACATGTATGTTCATTGCAGAACCATTTACAACAGCAAAGTCATGGAATCAATCTAAATGCCCATCAATGATAGACTGGATAAAGAAAATGTGGTTCATGGAATACCATGCAGCCACAAAAAGGAACAAGATCATGTACTTTGCAGGAACAGAAAACCAAATACTGCATGTTCTCTTTTATAAGTGGGAGCTAAATGATAAGAATACATGGACACATAGAGAGGAACAACACACAGTGGGGCCTTTTGGGGAGTCGAGGGTGGAAGGAGGGAGAGGATTAGGAAAAATAGCCAGTGGCTACTAGGCTTAATACCTGGTTGATGAAATAATCTGTACCACAAATCCCCCATGACACAAGTTCACCTATGTAATGAACCTGTACTTGTACCCCTGAACTTAAAATAAAAGTGAAAAAATAAAAAGACACACCACGTACAACTCTGCCTCCATCTCTGCCATCTTGGCCCATTCTTTACCCAGCTTCCCTTTCAGGAAAGGGGACTTGGACAAAGGAGAGCACTAGTAGGGGGAAACAGAGACACCAGAAACATGGCTTGTTTGTGGACATCAGCCATCCTTAGTCCTGTCAAAAGAGAGGGTAAGCAACTACAGGCAGAGCTGACCTCATACCTTTGAGGATGGGTGCATTGGGGGCATTTTAACCATTATGTTTTAAAATTTCTTACATTTGCAATATGCTCTACTGTTCACAAAAATATTAACACACAGTTTTGATTACTGTGAAACAAGCCTGTATGGAACTCTTAATACTTCCTTTTACAAACTGCTTTACATTTTCTTCCCCCACACTTAAATATCTCTGAAATTAGTACATGTTTTAGAATCGTTATGCACTGGGAATGGCTGTGATGGGGTTTCTGTCATTGCCTATTGATGTGCAAATGCTATCTTAGCTCTTTGTGTTGTCACATCTATTCAGATATGTGGATGGTTGACAGCACATGGGCTAATTGCTGTTTACTATGTCTTAAACAGGTTACAATTTGGTTTGACTTTGAAACAAAAAGTTATCATGTACACAGAAAAGCACAGAAGCAGAGGAGTGGGATGAAATGCGGTATTAGTGAACAAAAGAGCCAACATTGAAGTGACCACAGTTGCATATAGTCTTGCAAAGCAACCGCTGAATGTTTTGCTTAAAAAGGAAGACATCAACATGTAATTATCATCAAGACATGGCATCATAGTTACTTAATGGTACATAGAAACTGGAGTGTCTTTTTCAAGCACTTATTATGTTAAAGGTTCTCTGCTGGTTAAGGTTATAGGTTTTATGCTTTTGCAAGACACGTGTGCCTCACATCAGTTCCACTCTGTGGATAGTATTATCCCCAATCCAGGGATGAAAGATGAATAACTGGCTCAGGTTGGTAATCCAGTTTTGAAAGAGAGAGGGCTTGACTCTTCACGTGCCTAGAGCCTGTGCCCCTTTCCCTACCTTGGTAGACGTCTTCTGAATTTTCCAACCTCTTTGTCTTTCAGGAGCATCTTTGGGAAGGATTTGTTCCAAGGGATCTATACTCTGGTGCTATTCTGAAACAAGATGACAGTTTGGTTTTTTCCTTGGTTTCTCTTCTAAAAATTTAGGTTTTGGGAACTGGAAATCCTTATTAGGGCATTTAAACCATGGTCTTTATTTGTCTGCAATGCACTTTGAATTCAGCTCACATATTCTCTCACCTTATCTCACAATTGTTTCCTAAAGTGGGTAATGCTTCCTTAAACATGTAACCTTTATTTATGTCTGAGAAAAAGTCATCACCACAGACAGGTTTGTGAGTGCCTATGGAAATTAGGTGAGTTGAAGATGACCCAGTAAATGCCCCTTGACATCACCAGCTAAGGATTTTCCAGAAAGCTCAGTATTAGAAAAGTATTGAATATTTGTTTTTACCAAACTCCAGGTTCTCAAGAAATAGCTCAATGAGCTTCTCATACATAAACATTTATATTTCCAATGCTATCTGGGAGGGAAAAAGAATAAAAATTAAAATGAAAACCACTTCAATTTCTATCCATGATTATAATTTTATTCGTACCAACATATTTAAAGGTTTAAGCATGTTTAGGAAAGTGGTTTCTTCTTAGATCAGGATCAGAAATGGCAGCCCTCTTGGGAAAGACCGGTCTGTGGTAAACTCACCAGCAACCAGGGTGGAAGTGCCAGAAATATTCGCGGGAAGCTGATGATTCTGAAATTCCTAGTGTGATTCTGAACCCAGGAGAATTTACTTACATTTGGAATTACTGCATCACGGAATGAAACCAGAAAGTTCATTATTTATACTTCACACATTCACTTTTTTTAAAGATCTGGCTCAAAGGCACTGAGAGTTATGTTCTAGATTAGAGGTATCCAGTTAATTAAATCACAAGGACTTTGTAGCAAGTAGTAAAAATAATTCTTTCTCCACAAATTCAGCTGAAGGGGCCATTCTCTTCTTTTTTAGGCCAAGCATTCAACATAGCCACTGTTTTACCACAAGCTCTCTGCTATGAAGGGTTTAAGCACACTGTTGGCATTCAAATTGTTAATAGCTAATGCAACGTCACCTAATACTTTGTTAGTGTTTGTCTGTTACCAGTTGTTCCTAATTGACTAAAACAGAGTTATTCACTGACTCTTAAGAATGGGGTGGTAGGTTTTAAAAGAATATTTAGAGAATCATTTACAACTATACTCCTTCTCATCCTTTTCCTGCCCAACTTCACAGGAGTTGTCCATCTAATCCAAGGTGAGTCCCCTATCTATACCGTGAATGTATACATCAAAATTAAATTTACCATCTGCTTTACCTCTCAAACTGCTGCTTCTGATTTTTCTATTTAAGTGAATATCACCATCATCATCTACCAAGTTTCCCAAGCAAGCACCTAGGGATCAGTAGAAACTCCTTCCTTTCCATTCCCATACTCCAACTCCATCCAATCCACCAGTGTTCTGTCCATTTTCCTAAACCAGTGTTTTTCCTGCCTGTTCATTTATCTCTATTTCCTTTGTTACTACATGAGTCCAGGTCCTCACTACCTTAGAAGAGCCTCCCAAATGGTCTCCCTGCTACAATTTTTGATATTCTTATAATCCATTCTCTACCACTATTAAGATAATCTTTCTAAATGCAAATCTGCTCAAAACTTTTTAATCATGCTTCATCATCTTATTTAAATTTTTTTTCTTTTTTATCTTTATTGCTGCCACACAAATTAATGCCTCATCATGTAAAGGAAAAAGTTTAGATCCTTGGCTTGGAACCAAGTCCTACATCCTGTGGTCCTGCAGGCCTTTTCAGCATCACTCTGAACCATTTTCCATACACCCCTTATGTTTCAACCCTAGGGAAAAACTTACATTTTGCAAATGGACCATGTTCCTTCTCCCTCTTTTGCATTTGCAGCGTGGTTCACTCTACTGACCATTTGCTCCTTGTTTGCCCACAGCAATCCTACTAGTTCTTTAAGACTAGCTCATTTTCTATCACCTCTGGGAAGAAGTGAGGGAGTCCATTCTGAGTTTAAAGTTGCTTACAGTGGTGCCTTCTCTTGTGTTTCCCCAGGACCCTGTGCATACCTTCATCAAGGCACTTGCCACGTAGTACTTACATTTCTGTTACATGTATGTCTCTTTCACTAAACTTTAAACCCCTTGAAGAGAAAAGCTGTGTCTTTTATCTTTGTATCTACAGGCCAAACATGACAACTGTTGCTTAGTAGGTGCTCAGTTAATGGCTGCAAAATAAAGGAGTTTTAATCCTTTCCTATCACTTCTAGAAACTTTACTCAAGCAAAGTAACTTTTTTCCTCTTTCTTTCTGTATTTTTAATTCCTTCATCTTTCCCTTCTTACTCATCTTAAAAAGAGCAAGAAAATACTTGCTCCATCTTAACCCTTTCATTGTAGCCCCATTTTGTTGAAAAAATAGTCCACTTATTGCTTTAAACTCCTAACCTCCCATTGACTCTTCAGCCTACTAAAATGTAATGTTTACTCCCTCACTCCAATGGAATTGTTCTTACCAATGACACCAATTGCTTCCTGATTGTGAAAGTCAGGTTTTATCTTAAGTGATTACTCTTCAGGATTTCAAATTGTTGCCCTGTCTGTTTTTCCTGAAAAAATCCATATTAATTTGGCTTTTGTGACATCATTTCCCCTGGTCTACATCATCTCTGAACACTAATCAGCTACACCAGCTGCCTTTACTTAAATGCTTGTGTCTCAAGGAACCCTTATTAATTCTTTTGTGTTGTTATTCTCTCTGGGTAATTTCATCTAATTTTGCATCTTTGGCGACTACCTATATATCCAGTGATCCTGAATTTTGACCTCCAGAACTCTATTTCCAATGTGTAATAAATTCTGTGACTCACAATACCCTCAAACTTTACTTGTTAAAATGGAATTGTTTCCTTTTGCAAACATGGTCTCTTTTATATTTCCTATCCTAGTAAGTTAGCAGGAGGGTCAAGGTGTTGACCATTCATAGTCTTTCTCTAGGTTTCTATACTAGACAACATAATAAATAAATTTCAAGGAAAAAGTAATCCCTTGTATGTAGCCCAACTTAGCTTTTGTATTAGTTATCACTGCATAACAAATCACCACAATTTAGATTTAAAACAGCATACATTTATTATCTGAAAGTTTCTGTGGGTCAGGAGTCCAAGCGTGATTTAGCTGGGTCCTCTGCTCGGAGTTTCACAAAGCTGCAACCAAGGTGTTGGCTGGGGCTGGGCTTTTATCTGAGGTTCAGATGCTTCTTCCAAGATCACATGGTTGTTGACAAAACTCATTTCCTTCCAGCCGTAGAGCTCATGGCAGCTGGCTTATTTAAGGCTAATAGGAGAGAGAGTCTCTGACTTGTTTACCCTCTTTTAAAGGACTAGTCTGATTAAGTCAGGCCCACCCAGGGGGGTCTCTTTGATTAACTCAAAGTCAACTGATTAGAAACCTTATGCATATCTGCAACCTCTCTTCACTTTTGCTATATAATGTAACATAATTATGGGAGAGATGACCCCATCACTTTTGCCATGTTCTGTTGGTTAGAAGCAGGTTACATGTCCCACCAACACTCAGTGGGGGAGAGGATTATACCAAGGCATGGATCATTGAGAATCACTCTGGCATTCTTTCTATCATAGTGTAATTATATATCTATGTAGTGAAAAAATAGATATTTGTAATTTGGAGGTATTAAAAGGTTGAATACAAAGAAAAAATTATAGAACTTTAAAGTCTTAATTTTAATGGAGATGGCACATTATTTTGAAGATAGAGAAAATGGCTTCTATCCTTTTTCTATATTACACTTAGTGCCTTGGGCAGGATATATGTCCAAGCATCTAAACTGTAGATTATATAAAATGAACTTAAAGAGAATAATTAAATAATTCTGAAAGAGAAGTATTTAATGACATAACTGACTTGAGAACCATTTTACCATGTGTTAGCCTCATTTGTAGTAAGAGAGGATCATGTAATTATATGTCTATAAGTAAGTTATATGGTTTTTCTCAGTGTACATTAGTTCAATGTTTCTAACGGGTTTTTAAAAAAATTTTTCTTTTAATACCTTTGACAGACTGTGATTTTCATCAGAAGTGCTAATCTTTCCTCAAGACGGATAGTTCAGGCATCTTTTCATGCTGTTTTCTCATAGTTTTAAATGACATATCTACAGAGGTTCTTTTATCAGTGACTTTTCCCTTCCTGGCCCCACACTGTCTGAGGGCATACTCTCTAGCTCCTTTTATTTTATTTTATTTTATTTTTGTAGGCATCAGATATATTCTGAAGTCAATACTAAAGCTGTTAGAGTATGACATTTACTAAGAATCCTGCCATTTTAGGCCCTTCTTCTTAAAGGACAAGAATTCCATTGGTATTTAGTAAAAAACAACATGGCTTGGTAAATTTAGCTCTTTTTCTTGACATTGGCATTGATAATACAATGCCTGTGGTGTGTAGTTGTCGTGGCTGACTTGTAAATCCCTACAGATATGTGGTTACTTCTCTACTTTCCCTCTCTTTGGCTTGGGCAACTGCCACATTGATGCACTGGAGCCATTCTTCTGCATTCTTCTCATCCTTGGCCTTAAAGACATAGGTTTTATTGTCTGTGAAGATTTCGAAAGCCCGGGGGAGAGAGCGGTCCCTGCGTTTCTTGGCCACAGCTTTCACACTCTGCACTTTGCTGAGTTCTATTGGGCAGTCGTCAGGGTCATCTTTCTGAAAGGCATGGGAAGAAAAGAATATGGGCTGGCTGTTACTGTAGGCAAGGATCTCTGGCTACTGGAGAATTTTCTAAGAGGGCCAGAATCCTTTCACTTTTTATAGCTCAAGACCTTTGTTATTTTGGGTGCTAAGGCCTCAGAATCATTAGAATAACTGAAGGAGTGAGCAATCGGGCCTTTATTAGAGTATCATAAGTTGACACAAGATAACTAATTTATAGAATATTATTATAAAGCGGGATTTGGGAAAAATTCAGAGTTCTTTCATTTTCTATTAACGTTATATTAATAGAGCAAGGTGCAATGGTACATTTTGGAGTGCTATTAACTTATAATTTCGGGTAGTTTGGGAGGCATGAAATTGAATTTTCCTTTGTGCTACCTCTGAGAAAGATTTTGCCAAACCTTAATTGAATAGGGAGGTTTCCAGTGTTCCCATAGACCAAACTGTTTTTGAAACTCTCTGCAGCTTTGGAAGCATGCTTCGTCTACAAACAGTAAGGGAAGGAATATTTAATGATATTACATTCACCTTTTATTAAAGCAAAAATTTAAGGATCTCTACAATACCAAGGTCATCGCCTGGGCTAAGACGAATAATTTTAAGGGGTCAGATATTTCTTTGAAGCAATTTCAGGTCTTTAATATGAATACATTTTGTCTACTAAAGAAAGTACCTGTGGTTGAGAAGTTTGCCAATTCTCCTTGCCCACCTTTCCTGTTGCAATCACCCTCCTTTTACTTTGCAATGAAAAAGCAACCTCTTCACTCATCCCATACTTTCTATGATGTTTTGTCCAATGTAAAAAAAAAATCTCAGAAACACCAAATAAAAAAGCAATTCCAACTATTGACATCAGGGAAGTATCCATCAGCCAAGGCAATGCAATCACTCTTCATCTATTTCATTATGAGGTGCATTTTCAATAATATTTCAATTTTTAATGTTTAATAATTATTAAGCTTGGCATTATACTTAGGTATTTTCATGAAGGATATAACTTTTTGAAAAGATAACTGAGTCAGAAAAAATTACACTTGGAGACGGATGGTCACAAGAAATTCAAACAATCAAATTTCAATTTATACATACAGTTTTACTCAGTGAAAAATGAAATGCCATTCAGGATAAAATGCTGTGATAGAGGTAGAACAGAAACATGATTTCAAAACAAAGAAAAAGAGAAACAATGTGGACATTTTTATATAAAAAAGAGTTAATTTATGTATTAAAAAATAGTGTTAGGTGTTAAACTGCTACGGTATTTTAATCCAGTGGTTACATTTAATGGAGAGATATAATCCTTTTGTTTTAAAATGTCAATATTTACAATTCAACAGAAATTACAGTCCGGGCAAATGTTAAACTTATGTTAAAAGTGTTGCTGCAACTTAAAATGTTGCAAGGTATTACATAGATTGTTCAAAATTCTTTTAGGGTACACAGGATAAAGTTTGAAGACATACACACTAGACAATACTTTGCTAGCCTAATTTGGTTTACAGTAAGTATCTGACAGTAATAAAATTGCCTTTCTTTGAAGCAGTGCATAGAACAGAGATTGATAAGAAAATAAAAAGTTACCATAGTAATTTAAAGATGGACTGTGAATCAACTGAGACAGTAATAGAAAGTCAAAGGACACTATTGCCTAGCTGGTTGGTAGAGATCAAGGTCTTAAAAATGCAAAAGTGAAAGATTAGAGTCTTCCATTAGAGTCTTTCAACCTCAGCTCTCATTTTAAAATGCACATTTCTTTCATTTAAAAGGGGCCCTTCTACAAGGACCTGAAGCTTCAGCAGGACTGTTGACCACTGGTAGGTTATTGTTTCCCTGGAGATTAGAAGTATTTTGCTGTGGCCTTCATGCTATATTAAATTATTTCCCACTATTTGAGCTGCAAGTTTTGTCAGAGTTATGGAATGTCAGACCATTATTTCCTGATAAACATGTCAAACGAGTTATTATAATAATTATAAAATTGTGTTTTCTTTAAACCTTATTAAAAAGCCATGAATCAGAAAGTATAAAGGTCATTATTTGAGTTCAGAAAAACATTCTTATAGATTGACTCTGCTTTGTCTTAAGGGATCTGGAAAATTACTACATCTCCATTTCTATTCTTGATTTCTTGAATAAAAACAGAAAATTCAGATAGTCATTTTAAATACTTTAAACATGCTTTAGTGTGAACCTATGCTAAAAAAAAGTTTCTTTAAATTTCCAATAGCTGTCTAAATTGAACTGCCCTTTCAAAAAGATGTTCAGCCTCAGAAAAGTCCATCTGTATATGTTATAATACACACAGATGAGGAAAGTAACATGAGTACACAGTAGTATCACAAAAAAATTTTTTTTCATCCAAAAAGTTAACAGAAGTCTTATTAATTAAAAGAACACTGGTCAGAATTTGCCATAATTCAAATACATGATATTTGATTCCTGTTGATTAAAATGTTCAAGTAAGTCTTTTTTTTTTTTTTTTTTTTGAGACGGAGTCTCGCTCTGTCGCCCAGGCTGGAGTGCAGTGGTGCAATCTCGGCTCACTGCAAGCTCGGCCTCCCGGGTTCCCGCCATTCTCCTGCCTCAGCCTCCTGAGTAGCTGGGACTACAGGCGCCCACCACCACGCCCGGCTAATTTTTTGTATTTTTAGTAGAGACGGGGTTTCACCGTGTTAGCCAGGATAGTCTTGATCTCCTGACCTTGTGATCCGCCGGCCTCGGCCTCCCAAAGTGCTGGGATTACAGGCATAAGCCACCGTGCCCGGCCTCAAGTAAGTTTTATAATGAGGTCTCTAAAGATATAGTGCATATGGTCCAGAATGAATTATAATTTTTAACTAATTTACCACTTTTCATTAATTAATTCATACAGTTTGGTTTATGTGATGGCTAAATTTATGTGTCAACTTGACGGGGCTAATGGGTACCCAGACAGCTGGGAAAGCATTATTTCTGTATGTGTCTGTGAGGTGTTTCTGGAAGAGGCTAGCATTTGAATTAGTGGACTGAGTGAAGAAGATCCACACTCACCATTGTGGGTGGGCATCATCCAATCTATTGGGGATCTGGATAGAATAAAAAGTTGGAGGAAAGATAAATTTGCTCTTTCTTCTTGAGCTGAGACATGCATTCTCTCTTGCCTGTGGACATCAGAGCTCCTGGTTTTGGGGCCTTCGGATTCTGGGACTTACATCCCTCGCCGCAGCTCACCCCCATATCCAGGTTCTCAGGCCTTTGGCCTTGGACTGGGAGTTATATCATTGACTCCCTTAATTTTCTGGCCTTAGGACACAGACTGAATTACACCACCAGTTTTCCTGGTTCTCCAGCTTGCACACAGCATATCATGGAACTTCTCACTCCCCATAATTTCATGAGCCAATTCCCACAGTAAATCTTTTATATGTCTTTATATATCCTATTGGTTCTGTTTCTATGGAGATCCCTGGTGAGTACAGTTTGCCAGTGGCTCTGTATTTTAAGTATACATGGGAAGCAGTAAACTCATTTAAGAACATGCTTTGGTGAAACACTGCCTGATCTTGACCTCAGTTATATCCTTTCTCACCTTATTAGCTTTGTCCTTGGACAATCCAATCAGGTTCTTTGACTCAGTTTCCTCATCTGTAAAATGGCAATAATAGCAGTGGTGGCCTAATAGGATTATTTTGAGGCTTGTTAGAGGCAATCCAAGGTGTTGCATAGTAAGCACTGAAAAAATGCTAGTCATTATGATTATTTTTTAAAATACTCAAGAAGTAGGTCAAGATTTGATTCCTCTTGATCCTGAATCAGTAGAGTTTAATGATACATAGAACCAATTTGAAAAGAGGATAACTTTGCATTATTGATTGGAATAGAATGCTACTTCAGAGATTTTCCACTGAAAATTCACAATACAAATAATTACTGAGCATCTTATTCAAATGGAAAATTATATTAAATATTTATTAGTTTGATCACAATTCTACTATATTCATTAACTGAATATTAAATAGATGAAAGACAGTAATATTTTAATCAGAATTAAACTTTGTTGACTATAAAAAGTACCTAAAGTAAATCAGCCTCCATTCTTTCCTCCTTGCCTATGTCCTCCTTTTTTGGACCCCCACTTCCAATTATAAACTATATTTATAAAAAATTAGAGCCAATATCATAAGTCATGAATTTGTGTACATGGTCCACAAGGAAACAAAGGGCACGGTGTCTGAGTCAAGACCTAGTAGTCCCTCTGCAGTTCAACTAAAACAACTAAAGTCAACTAAAACAAGCTTCCATAATAAACTGGAAGGGGACAGTGAACCAACTAACATAGGAATAAACAGACTAGACACAGACATATATGAGAAAACAATGCTGTAAGATGGTGAAATGGAGATGGAAAAAGTATCAGAGTTTAAACTTAAGACAAAATGTCTAGCTATTGGTGGAGATCAAGACCTTAAAAATGCAAGTGTAAAAGATGATGGAGGAACTTACAGACTTTCCTTTTTGAAACAGAAGTTGATTTCCAGCCAGTGTAAAATAGCGTGTTTTCCACCTTTTGATGAACTTCCATCTGACTTGCTTCTCTTTAAGTTTTCCTTCGATGAGAGGCTGGCCATCTTGATTTACAACTGTTGAAGGTAGCAGAATAATCATGCCATGTATTTTCCATTGTTTACTGGGTAAGTGATCAAAAGTCAGAACTGTACAGTGTACCAGAACCCAGTTAGCATATCTGGAAAGTAGGCTAATAAATTATGACTTTGGTTAACCTTTCCTCCTTTGTCCCTAAAAGAATGCACAATTCAGATATGACAATGGAAAACTGTTGAAAGCCCTCATTGACATTTTCAAAAGGAATTGGCTCACACAAAGAGCATCTGGTTAACAGTATTTAAAGTTTTTCTGGATATTTAGCTTTCTGTGCTTAGTTTCTTTGTTTCACGGTGTTCCATTTCTAATATCGGAATGACCAAATTAATTTGAAATAGTTTGAAATTTTGGCACAAAGTATCTAGTATGCCATAAGCTTCATTTTGATTTTGCCAGTAACTAGGTAATAAAAAACAAATTTCCATGCTTTATGACACATGAACTTCTGGAAATATAGCTTTATAAATAATCATAAACCCAAGTATATTTAGCTATTTGGCAGCAAAAGTCAATGCAGCACTCCAAAAGACATGTTTCCTAAAGCCATAACACTAAGCTGCAAAGGCAAACTTACCCAACTCTTGTACATGCTGTTCTCACTCTCTGGAACACACATACTCTCTTTCCCCTCTCTGTACTCCCATCTTCACCTAGTCAACAACTGATCACTTCACATTTCAACTTGAATGCTGCTTCATTTGGAAAGCCCTCTCCAAATCCAGATGAGGGTGGCTTTCCCCCATAAGTTCTCATGGCACATAGCATGTTCCTTATATAGCAGGGATTATCATTTGTAGATAGATATTAGTGCTTATCTGATTAATATCTTTCTGTCTCATTCAGTTGGAAGCTCCACAAGGGCAGGGTCTTGGCTTTGTTCACTGTTGAATCACCAAGCATCTAACATGGTGCCTGGCAAATAGTAGGAAGTCTATAAATATTTGTTGACTGAATGGACTAATTTTACATTGAAGCAGAGTGTGTATGATTACAAATGATCATAGAATTAGAAGATCCATTGCAATGTCAGAGTTTAGATGCTGAACTGAGGAATTTTATTCCTTTTACAAACAACATAAGATTCACTCTTCAAATTCAGATGAAAGCACCTGATTTCAGCAAGAAGGGGACAATGGAAAGCTCAATCTGTAGTAGGACAATATTTATTTGTATATATTTATCTTCAATTTTCTTTTTTTTTTTTTTTTTTTTTGAGACGGAGTCTCACGCTGTCGCCCAGGCTGGAGTGCAGTGGCGCGATCTCGGCTCACTGCAAGCTCCGCCTCCTGGGTTCACGCCATTCTCCTGCCTCAGCCTCCTGAGTAGCTAGGACTACAGGCGCCCGCCACCGCGCCCGGCTAATTTTTTGTATTTTTAGTAGAGACGGGGTTTCACTGTGGTCTCGATCTCCTGACCTTGTGATCCACCCGCCTCGGCCTCCCAAAGTGCTGGGATTACAGGCTTGAGCCACCGCGCCCAGCTATCTTCAATTTTCATAGCACCTTGAAAGCAATAAAATTTGTTCCATCACTTTGGAAAAATTCTGGACAGCGCCTGTTTGACCATATGAACACAATCTGCCCTTTGTACACTACCATTTCTTTTTTCTAATATAGGTCTAATAATTGCCGCACAGGATTGCTCACCTTTACAGAGCATTTTCAGGATAAAAATAATAAAATATATAGTTTTCTTTTCTTTTCTTTTTTTAGAAAGTCTACTCTGTCACCCAGGCTGGAGTGCAGTGGCAAGATCTCAGCTCACTGCAACCTCTACCTCTCAGGCTCAAGTGATTCCCCTGCCTCAGTCTCCTGAGTAACTGAGATTGCAGGCAATCGCCACCATGCTCAGCTAAATTTTTGTATTTTCAGTAGAGACGGGGTTTCACCATGTTGGCCAGGCTGGTCTCAAACTCCTGGCCTCAGGTAATCCATCCGCCCCGTCCTCCCAAAGTGCTGGGATTATAGGTGTGAGCCACCATGCCCAGCCGAAATGTAGAGTTTTCATAAGCAAAGTACTATTAAGGCTATTTTTTTTTTTTTTTGGATAACTATTCAATTGGCTGTTCCATTGTCAACTCCAAATTAAGGCTAAAAACTGGCCAGGCGCGGTGGCTCATTCCTGTAATCCCAGCACTTTGGGAGGCTGAGGTGGGTGGATCCCAGCTATTTGGGAGGTTAGGCAGGAGAATCACTTGAGCCCAGGAGGTGGAGGTTGCAGTGAGCTGAGATCACGTCACTGCACTCCAGGCTGGGCAACAGAGTGAGACTCCATCTCAAAAAACAAAGAAACAAACACTGAAAATACGTATCAAATCTATTGTAAGATAGTGATAAGGGCTATGATGAAAATAGAATAGGGAGTAAGTGACTTGGGGACTTGCTGTGCATGCATGCATTTCAGTGGGCAGGAAAGAGCTTAGATGTTCAAGGTGACATTTGATCTGAGACCTCAGTGATGAGACCTCCAATCTTTTGAGAAGCTCTAGTGGAGGTTACTAAGGAGCATAGCAGAGGCAAAGGAAAGCAGGAACTCATGAAGTATAAACTTACAATTAATATAAAAAAAAAATTTCAGAGTTCTGCTTTGCTTTGATAGAAATTGTCTGACATGGAGCATTCTTAAAGCTAGTAATGCTCTTTGCAAATTTAAATTTTCCATAAACATAGTGGTTTCCTTTGTGCAACCACATCTACAGAGACTTCAGTTAAAGCGCTTAGGGTACTGTGTCTCCCCCAGGGTTACCTGTTCCTTGAGAGCAGGAACAGCCTTAACACAGTGCCTGCTGGGCTAGAGGCTCAGTAAATGTTTATTAACAGTGCACCGTTGAGTCATAAAGGGTGCAGCAGCCTAGCTGGGATGAGGAAAGAAGGTTTCAAGAGGTGATCCAAGAGGGGAAAAAAGGGGAAAAATAAGTAAAAACAAATAACAAAAACAAAATACCAAAGCTGAAATTAATTTAAAAAATTTTAAAACACCCATTTTTCACATTTTCAAGTGAGAGAACATGGTAATCTAATTGTAATGTTCGAGGATTTTTAATATTAACTCAGAAGATTTAGATTTGAATCTTCTAAACTACAATTTTCTAATCAGCAAGAGAAAATAATAATGCCGCCCCCTCCCCTTTAAAAAGGGATTCTGGGATGTCAAAAATCAAAAGAAAGAAATTTATGTGAGGATACGAGGTAAATAGCAAAGCACAAGGCACTGCTTCTCCCTCACCCCAATCCCACTTCTAGGAAAGACTTGACTTTACAGTTTGTGATCACTGCTTTCTTGCCATGATTTTTTTTTTTTTTTTTTTGTCCTAAGACAGGGTGTCACTCTGTCACTCAGGCTGGAGTGCAGTGGTGAGATTTTGGGTTACTGCAACCTTTGCTTCCCAGGCTCAGGTGATCCTCCCACCTCAGCCTCCTGAGTAGCTGGGACCACAGGTGCGCACCACCACACCTGGCTAATTTTTTTTGTACTCTTTGTATAGACAGGGTTTCATCATGTTGCTCAGGCTGGTACCATGGTTTTAATGACAAGATGATTTAATGTAATGCTATTTAATAATGATACATTTTTCCTGTCTCAGTCTTTCATATTTACTCAAAAAACATTTGAAATAATTATGATATCTGAGATGATTTGAAATAATGATTGACTTAGGGAAAATTTAAGTACATAGATCCTTTTGGATTTGACATAGAGGGTTATCTACTTTATTTTTTCTCAAGGCAGATCCAAATGTTTCACTTGAAGAGTTATGTGTGACCAAAGTTTACAAGGAACACTTGGCAAAATTGTTGGAGTCCTTAAAGACATGGGTGAATGGGATATAATGACTATGATGAGACAGTCAAGACAAAATGATAGGCTTACTAACAACAAAGGATGAAGGACTTCAGAGACAAGCCAGGAAGCAAATACTTTTCACCAGTGAAAATCAGCCCTAGGAGGGAAAATCAATGGAAACGGTTTTAGGAAGGAAATGTTAGCAGAACTTTAAAGTAGCTGAATGTGAGGCCCCAAATTTAGGTATTAGTCAGTTTCAGAGAAGTCAGTAAAAGCGAGGCAATTTGGAGTTGTGAGATTAATTTTAAAAGAATTTCAAGAAACAAAACAAAATTTTTCTAATATCCCATATCTTAAAAAACTTTTATTTTTTTTGCTATTATATCTAACATATGCATGACTGGGGACGTGTCATTCTAAAGGTCTGTTGCCCATAGTATGTCCTTTGAAGCAAGTGATTTAGATATGATATCACAGCCTCTTCACAGCTACATCAAGAAACCATTTTTTCTAAGATTATCATATTCCATTTAAAAAATATCATGTGGAGTGATACTATCAGGGTATGATCATGTATCATCTAAAATAATCTTGTTTGCATGTAGAACATAGAGGATATTCAAACACATCCTCACTTTCCAATTAACACATTATTTCATTTAAAGCACCACAATTTGGCCAAGTGTGGTGGCTCATCCCTGTAATCCCAGTGCTTTGGGAGGCCGAGACAGAGGGTTCATTTGAGGCCAGGAGTTGAGACCAGGAGTTTGTGACCAGGCTGAGCAACATAGCGAGACCCTGTCTCTATAAAAAATAAATAAAATAATTAGCTGGGCATGGTGGCATGCACCTGTAGTCCCAGGTACTCAGAGGGGTGGAGGGGTGCAGAGGTAGGGGGATCGCTTGAGCCTCAGAGGTCAAAGGGTGCAGTGAGCTATGGTCATGCCACTGCACTCCAGCCTGGGAGACAGAGTGAAATGCCATCTCTTAAAAAAACAAAGCAAAACAAAACACCAAAAACAAAGCATCACAATTTGGTTAGGACATTCTCTACTAACACGGATCTGTTTATTTTTTTAAATATCAACTGGCTATAAAAGCTATGGGTTATTAAATTGAATTTTGTAGTGCAATTGGAACGCAAAGTGTTACTGTGTTTGTCAACTTAAAAGTTTTTCAGAATGCTAATACAAAT